AGAACTGGAGGCTCCGCCTCATCAGTCTCAAAAAAAAGATTCGAGAGTTCTTTGTTTTTTGGGGGGGACCAAGATCCTTTCATTTCTACTTCTTCTGTCCTGGGCCTCTTCCTGGCCACTGGGGGGCCGGGAACAGTTAATTACAACGAGCACCGTCGGAGATGAGCACGACTAGAAAGGTACGACGTGTGCCGATCCGGCTCGCCAGGTGCCGCAGGAAGGTGGGGCTTGGGGCTCTGGTCGCGATTTGCCGCGAGGTCGCATGCGCTTCGCAACGCCCGGTCCCGTGGGCCAGGCAAGGCCCCGGGCCTGGAGGACCGAGGACCCCAGACCCCCGCGGGTCGTAAACTTACGTCGGGCCTGTCCTCCTACAGGGGGGTTTTCGACGAACAATTACAAAAACTCAAAACATACTCCCAAATGGTCAAACAATATAAAAAAAATCAACCCCTGACTTTTTTGTTACTATTTTTGACTATCCCGCCTGTAGAGGGACGGGCCCGACTTCCTCGTAAACAGACAGTCCCGACGGGAGGCTTTGTGCTGTCTTCGGCCTCTGGGGGCCCTCGCCAGGCCCCGAGGCAGTCAAGAAACGGCCCAGGATGAAACATCGGCCCCAGGGGAAGGGGTCGAGACCCCGTGGGATAGAAGTTATGGAGAAAGCGTGACGTCGGGGGTCCGGGATCGGCGCTCGATCCGCACGCCTGCTGCTGCCCCCCACTCCTGGGAGCCAGGGGACGCAGGGCATGGACGAAGAACGTGGCTCCAGAGGCCAGGAGCTGATCCATGGCGCCGCTCTGGCCCTCGTGGGGCCGGCGCGTGGGCAGGGGCAGGGATAGCATGTCGATCGCCTGTTCCAGGAGGAGGACCCAAGAAGAGACGAGTGCACAGACATGAACTGTCAGAGCTCTGCGCGGACTTGTTGGATCGGCGAAGCGGTCGACGCCGCCGCCGCCGCCGCCGCCGTCGTCTTCGTCGTCTTCGTCGTCGTCGTCGTCGTCGTCGCCGTCGTCGTCGTCGTCGTCGTCGTCGTCGTCGTCGAGCTGTGGCCGCCGTTCGCGGCCGCCCGCGGAGGCTGCAGACCTCGTGGCCCAGCTCGCGTGGTGGCGGCGCCAGGGCGAGCTCGGGGGCCCGGGCGCCCGCGGGGCCGCGGCCGCCCCCGCCGCCTGGAGCGAGGCGGCGTGCGAGGAGGCGGAGCCGAGCGGCCCGTGCGCCCCAGCGGGGGCGGCGGGGGCCGCGGATCCGCCGGGCTGCGGGCGGCCTCGCAGCGGCGGAGGATCAGGTCTGGGCGCCCGAAATTCCCAGACCCCCGACGTCATGATTTGTTCATGACGCGACCCCCAGAGGTCCCGACCCATGCCCCGGGACCGGTTTTTCGTCCTGAGTCGTTTTCTGACGGTCCCGAGGCCCGGTAAGGGTCTCGGAGGCCGGTAAGGGTCTCGGAGGCCGAAAATAGCGACAATCCTCCCGTCGTGATTTTTTCACAGTGCGAGGGGGTCTGGGAATGGGTACGGACAGAATGGGTACAATGCCCAACAGCATGCATTGCTTGCTCATTTTGAGCAGGACTCTCGCTGTCGGTGTCGCCGCGGCCTGTGCACATTTGAGACAGGAGGCCGCCTGCCCAACAGCGGCCGCTGTTGGTTTGGGACGACATTGGTTGTTGGGCATTGCGCCCAGTTTTGTCCGTACCCATTGCGGGCGTCCAAATCAAGGAAGCGCAAACGTGGATCAAGGCGCGCGGATTCGCGGCGGGTCCCGTTCCCACGCAGGACCGGCGCGGTCCGTCGCCACATCGGGCGGCACTAGCGCCATGCTTCGGGCGCCGCTTCCCCGATGCACGGACCTGGCGCCGACGCGGCGCCAGGTCCACGGATCCCTGATCCCTGTTCGCGCCTGCCCGAGAGGAGGAGGACCGGGCGCGGCGGAGGACGAGGACCGGGGTCAAAAAGCAACAGTCGGCACGAGCGTAATTTCTTTGAGCTCCGTCCGGGCCTCTCGTATCGGCGTGGGTCCCCCCCTGGCGGCGCCTCCGGCGCCGCCCCTGGCGCGCTCCGCGCCAGGGAGGGGGGGGTCCAGCGCCGATCCAAGAGGTCCGCGCCCCACGGGGCGCGGCGGAGGACGAGGACCGTGGGGCCTCGCCTTCAGGTCTGCCGTGCTTCGGGCGATGCCGCAGGCGGGGCGGAAGGTCCAGCCTTACTTCCCAAGGTCCTCTTGATGCCGATTTCTGCCCTACTTTGCCGTCGCTGATTCTGCCGTGCCGTACCTTTGCGGAAACATCCGTCCTACTGCTTCTGGGGCGGAAGTTTCCGCCGCATGTTGACGCATCTTTCGGGGTGCATGTCCGAGACAAGTCTGAACCGGAAAATCCGCCAGGGTATTACGACGGATCCGAAGCCCTGAGATCGGGGCGCCTCAGTCTTTTCACGCCTAGCGTTCTCCCCCAGTTTCGGGCCCCGGGCCCAACACAGATCGAGCCGGCTCGAACGATGCAGCAGAAAGATGTGGGCGAGCGTTCGGCCGTGATGATTTGCGATCTCCTGTCGCAATTGCTTCGCAACGTCGGGTCGAAGGGGTCGCGACGGCGCGTGCGATGAGTCCTGCACTTTGTGGGCCCCAGAAACGGCAGGGCCGTTTTTTCACCGTTTCCAGAAAAATGTCCCTTGAAAACGGAAACGGCAAAAAAACGGCGACCGGAAGCGGCAAAAAAACGGCCCCAGGATTGGAACCCGAGCCGGAAGCGGCCAAAGAACGGCGACGGAACCGCTAAAACAACGGCGGCGGAACCGGCAAAGAGAAACGGCAAGACGGAACCGGTAACAAACAGGGCCCTGTTGCAATTGCCTCGCAGCGTCGGGTGGAAGGGGTCGCGACGGCGCGAGCGATGTGTCCTGCAGTCAGGGCGCTGATGTGACAGCCCGCGCTTCGGGGGTCCAACGGAGTGACGTCTTACGCGGGCTCAATCGAGACCTCGCCATCCCTGGGGGGGGGCTGCGATCTGCGAAGTGGTCGCCATGTTCGAGGGCTGCCGGAGGGTCCAGCGGAGTGACGTCTTACCCAGACTCGAACTAAACCTCGCCATCCCAGGGGGCGCGACGGCGCGTGCGATGTGCCCTGCAGTCAGGGCGCTCCTCCTCCTCCTCCTCCTCCTCCTCCTCCTCCTCCTCCTCCTCCTCCTCCGTAAGAGCCCACGCTTCAGGTTCGCGAGGGGCTCGGGCTCTCGGGCCGCTGTCGGGGCCCAGGCCGGGGAAGCTGCGCGCGGCCGGAGCTCGCCGCGGCCAGACGAGTCGCTTCGTCCCTCTGTATCGTCGGGAGCTGGAACATCTACACTACCAGTGGCGGGTCGTTTTTTTTTTTTTTTTTTTTTTTTTTTTTCAATCCCAAGCATTTTTGAGGGTCGGGGACGACGTCGGGGTGGTGTGGTGTATACCTTGCCCCCGTTTTCCACGGGAAGCAGCGAAGCATGTACACACCGGGATCCCGTAAGCACCAGGATCCGCGTCACTGTGCGGATTTCGGCGCAGGGTCGGGCAAAAAGCGTCGGTGTATAGAGAGCTCGTTTCCCCATCATGGGCGTCCCTCCTTGTGGCGCGGTGACTGTTCAGGAGGGGGAAAACACACACAGACACAATGGATCGTCGACTTCCCAGGAGAATGTGGGAAAACATGGGAAGTGGGGGGGGGAAGACAAAAACCCAGAAAATGTCGGAAGATGTGAAGAATCCTGATAGTTGTATCTATTTATTTTAAAGGTTGCCGCCTCTGCCGCGGACCCCAAGTGAGCGACGTGCGTCTGATTCGTTTGTTGTCGGGGTGCCTATCGGAGTACGGCAGAAAGAATTCTGGTGAGACATTCAGGCCCGAGCCTCGCCCTCTGGATTCCCGATCCTTCGTTGCATGTCGTCTCTTCTCTATCGAACAGCCTTCCCGCCACTATGCCCAGGTTTTCCTCTTAGTTGTATCTCTATTTCTTTGTGTGTCCCAGGGCCCTCTCAACTGTCGGGCCGGGCGAAAGGGGGGTATTGGGAAAGGGGGGGGTACGAAATTTGCTGCATGCAGCTGGTTTCGGCCTCACCCAGGGGCTCATTCCTCGATGCATAGCCGCCTCTGGCGCCGGGAGGCGCCGGGAAAACCAGCTACGCGAGCTGATTCTCAAACCCCCCCTTTGCTATCCCCCCCCTGATGGTCCGCTACCGAAAATTTCCGGTAGCGCTCCGCAGAGATCGGTCGCTACCGAAATACCGAAATGTAGCGCCCAATACCGGTATCAGACCGTTCTGAAATCCGCTATTTCAACGTCCTCAAACGAAGATCCGGTCGCTACCGAAATTCGGGGTGCGTCGAAATCGCTACCGAAAATTTCCGGTACCAGACCATCTGGGCCCCTTTCGCCCGACCCGAGACTGTGCCGCCTCGGCCCTCGCCGCGCACTGCTCGGACGTGCTCCCTCGGCGCGCGCGCGCGGCGGTCTCCCTCGGTCTGCGTGCGCGCTCCCATCCCCGCGCCCCCCCCGCCCGCTGGCCCTCCCTCCCTCCCTCCCTCCCTCCCTATCGCTATCGCTATCGCTATCGGCTCGATGTCCAGTTGGACGCAGCCGTCCGCGCGGCCGAAGCTACGCGCGCGCGCCCGAGGCGCCTGGGGGGGGGTCACCCCCCGACATGCTCCCGCCAGAGGGGCGGGGGCCGAAAAGGACCGAGAAAACGGGCCCAGGAGTTTCGGGGACGAGGAAGGAGGGAGAGGGGGCTCAGTAAAGGCCTGAAGAGGAAGGGAAAAAAACCCCCGTGACGGCCTGCGCGCAGGCGGCGGCCCGCCGGCGGCGGCTCGGTTCGGTCAGGCCTGAACCGAGTCCTCCCCCCCCTCGCCCTCGAGGGGGCGTCCAGGATGGGGCTGGCGGCCGCCGTGAGCACTGCGGCCGTCTTGCCGTGGTGGGCGCCTGTCTCGATCGTCTTGGGCCATGTTACGGCCAGATCGGGTCGTCGGATCAGCGGCTGCTGTCCGACCAAGCTGGGGCAGACTGCCCAAAATGGAGGTGACGAAGTCGTCGAGGGGATTACCGTGGTCCTGGGAGAGGCCGAAGTAGATGGCGTAGAGGCTGCTGGCGTCGTCTATGATGGTCGGTCGTCTCGTAGCAAGGTTCTCCGTAGCGTAGAGCATCATCTCAGTATTCCACATCACTGACGGACCTGCTGGGGCTGAGGATTGCGCTAGTAGTGCTGGTACTTCGGCGACGTGAGCCGCGTGGAAGGTGTGGATGGCGAGGCGGGCGTGGTGGTTCGCAATCAATCGGCGTTCGGCTGCCTCACCTCCAAGGTTTACTCTGCCCCAGGGGTCCGTGGTCGTTCTGGAAGATGCTGCCGTTCTGTCGGGCGGGTAGCCATCGACTTGGTCGATCCACGTGCTGGGTGAGAGGTTGATCATCACTCCAGCAAAGTCGCCTTGTCGTATGTGCTGGTGGAGCGAGTCGAGGGCGTCGTACTGAGATGGGTGGTCGACAGAGTAGAGGTCATCGAAGGTCAGAGTAACCCGTTCCATCACCATTCCATTGTAGCATAGTCGTTGGTCCGTAGTGTCGAGCAGATCGTTCGGGTGTCTGTCAATGTTGGTGAGGTAAAGCAGAGATCTGTTTCTGGTCGGTGTCCGAGGGTAGTAGGCTGGTGGTGGTGGTGTAATCGCTGGTACCGTCGGGAAGAATGGCGGTGGTGATGGTGAAAGGTCAAGGGAGGGTAAGGGAGTGACGTCGGATGCGTGGGCAGGGATAGGGTGGTATAGTTCGGGGCGGCCTCTGCGTTTGTTGTCGGCTATGCTGGCTGCGTATGTCGCCTGATTGGTGGCCACGTCCTCTTCCGTGAGGGCAGGCCCTTGTAAATACCACAGGTGCCAAGACCGTCGGCAGCGGGCGACCGTAGTTAGATGCTTCACGAGCTTGGCGAAGGAGTGGAAGTTCTTGCGGCATATTCTGCACGATGTACCCGATGCCCAGTTTCGCGGATGCTCAGGTCGTCGGTGTTCACGTCCGATATGTATTGCCATGCCCTGCTTGGTCTTGGTAACGATTCCACACTCGTAGCAGATGAAGTTGCTGGCGCCGTTGTCGCGTGATGGCGTGGGGTCCGCACCAATGGGACCGTCGGGTCTGAGCACCTTGGTCAGCTTGTCGACGTGGGCGCGGTCTTTGGATGCGCGGATGTAGTTTGTGACAGCCAGGTTGACGGAGTTGCTGAAGTGCTTCGGCGTGGCGCGTGCCCATGCAAAAACGTCGGAGTCGAGCTTGCTGGTCGTGGGCCAGCGCTGGTCGTCCAGGTATGTGCGCAGGAAGTCGAAGTCCTGGAAAAGCATGTATGTCCATGAGCCCTTTCTCCGTCGCTGGTTGTCAAGCAGTTGGAGGAGCTGCTGAGGAGCGTATCGTAGAAGCCGTGGTAAGTATCGCAGCCTTCCAGCAGACTGGTGGTGGTCGAAGTCGGGGATGCCAGTGTAGGCTACTACTTCGGTGGCCGTGAAATGATGAAGCTGCGAGTTAGCTTTGGGTATTCCAGCTGCCGTGCGATAGGGCTTCGAGTAGGCATTGGAGATGCGCTGGTGGTCAGTCTGGGTCAGTGCTGGCCAGACGTGGTGGTTGAAGGTTAATGAGGCAGTCGAGAGGGCGTGCACGTACTTGATCTTTGTTTTGCGGGGTAGGCGTCGACGTCGTAGGATTTGCCTCTCAAGAGCTCGTGCCGAAGCGTCGGTTCGTCGCATGCGATTCTGCACCTCGGGGCCCATGCTGCCGCTGGTGAGGATGGTGCCTAAGAGTCGGTGCTGGTCTGTGATCTGGACCGAGATCGACATGATGCTCAGCTGGATTGATGTAATGTTCTGCTGTGCAAGCCTACTGCGTGCGACGTTGGATCCCGTCCCGTTAAAGGAGAGGATGACCTTGGTCTTGTCTGGGTGTGGCTTGAGCCCGTAGGTGAATGCTGTACGGCATAGTCGTTCGGCTGAAGTTCTCGTAATGTCAATGATGTCGGAGTGGCGGGTGGTCGAGTTGAAGTCGGTGAGGTCATCGACGAAGGACATGTTGGTCAGCTTGCCGCCGTGATGAGGAGCCGTAGAGAAGAGCGGGTTGTCGCAGGGGCGGATGTGGTGGCCGCTCTTTTTTTTTTTTTTTTTTTTTTTTTTTTTTTTTTTTTTTTTTTTTTTTTTTTTTTTTTTTTTTTTTTATTTTTTTTTTTTTTTTTTTTTTTTTTCTTTTTTTTTTTTTTTTCTTTTTTTTTTTTCTTTTTTTTTTTTTTTTTTTTTATATTTTTTTTTTTTTTTTTTTTTTTTTTTTTATTTTTTTTTTTTTTTGTTTTCTTTTTTATTTTTTTTTCTTTTTTTTTTTTTTGTTTTTTTTTTTTTTTTTTTTTTTTTTTGTTCATTTTTTTTTTTTTTTTTTTTTTTTTCTTTTTTTTTTTTTTTTTTTTTTTTTTTTTTTGTTTTTTTTTTTTTTTTTTTTTTCTCGCCGCGTCTTCTGCCCTTTCAGCGTCGTCGGCGATGGCCTGAAGCACCAGGGAGAAGTGCATGTTGAAAGCCGCGTCGGAGTATGGCACCCCTGGCCTGGTACTGGTGCGAGGGATCACGTATGCGTCGGTGCCCTTGGCGGTCATCCAGTTGGCCGTGTGGTGGTCGGCAACGAGGGCGCAGAGGTGAGAGTCGTCGACGTGGGCGTTGAGATGTGCTGGACAGCGAAGGCGTTGTCGTAGAGAGGGAAGAAGGCAGATGGTAATCTCGATGTTGTCGATGACGTCTTCGAGCTCGTCCTCCTGAGTCGGCAGCTGGAAAATGAACTCCCTGATTACCGAATGGAAGGCTTCTTTCAAGTCCAGGAAGAGGATGCTGCCCGTGCGAGCCTGCGTACGGCAGTCGTCTAAGAAGGTGTAGGCGGTGTGAGTGATGAAGTCAGTCGCCTTGTGAGGGACGGCGCCGCATTGTGTGTCCATAAGCAGGTCGGGTAAGATGTCGCGGAAGAGGCCTCTCAGGAACTTGCTGTTGATCTTGCCAATAGTGTTGTTCAGGAGGATGCCCCTGTAGGCTTTCTGCAGATGAAGCTGTCCTTGTCCTTTGGAGAAATGGGTGGAGAAGCCGCCCTTCGCCGAAATGGGCTCCGTCGTCATCAGCTGCATCTTCACCATGATGGGGTGCAGAAGTCGGGCCATCTGGCGCGGCGCTGCTCGTGCCATGTCGTCGGTGTTCCCGTCGGGCCCGCCGCGTCTGCCTTTCTTGGCGGCTGCCAGGGCGGATGTCAGGTTGTGGATGGTCTGGACGTTGTCGATGTGGGGGGTCGGCTTAGTGTGCGCAGTCTTGTTGTTGTAGTACTTGACGACGCCTTCGATGTCGGTGTTGATGCCGTTCTCGATGTTGCCGTAGTATCGAAGGGCGTGCTCCGCGATGGCTTGTGGCGTCGTGAGTGGAGCGCCGTCATCGTCTTGGCGTATTTTGGGAGTCGGAGTTCTCTTAGGTGTACGGCCGCCATATGTGAGTAAGGCCCTCACGCTTGCCCATTCCTGCCGAGGGGCATTCCCTGCTGCTGATAATATCATGTTGTCGGAGAAGCGCTCGAGGTGGGCGTCGCGGTCGTGGTCGAGGCGGTTTCTGAGAGCGCGGTCGGCATCTTGGATGAAGCTCATGTATGAGCCGAAAAGATCAGTAGTGAAGGTGGTTGTGCAGGAGGTGCTGTCGTGGTGTGGAGCCGTGGTATGGTCGGGGTCCGCGTGGTTGATGAAGAGGATGGTCTTGATCATCAACTTGGTGTATCCAGGGATGTCCAGGAGGTGGATGACGTCGTCAGGGGACGCTGAAGCCGACTGGTTTGCGATGAGGTGCGCGGTGTATCGGATCCGTCTGCGTGATTTCTTGGAGCCAATGCCATTCCTTTTCACTATGCGGATCGTCTTGAGGAGGGTGCGTCGGAATCGAAGAAGCGCGTAGGAGGCCTCGGTAATGTAGGGCTTGCGGGGGGCATGATGCTGCTTCTTGAAGCTGGCGTAGGCTGCGTCCTTTATCTGATCGACGATGCTCTTAGTATGGTCGTTGAGGTTGGTCTCCCAGGGAGGGTGTTGGATCTGCTGCAGGCGTCGTTGAAAGTCGTTCTTGGCTGTCTCGGAGTCGAGCTTAGCGATGTCGAGCTTGGGCGTGCCGCGTTGGTAGGCGGTCTCGACGGTGTAGGCGAGGTTGGCCTTGACAGGGAAGTGGTCGTTCTTGTGTGAGTGGTCGTCTACTGTGTCGATGCCGTACATTACGGACGTGTAGGAGATGGAGTCGAAGAGCTCGTGGCCAACCACTATGTAGTCCAGTCTGTGCACGTCCTTGCCTGAGTCCCAGGTGTAGTGGTCCTGGCCACCGCTTTTGAAGGTATTCGCGGCGATGAGAGAGTTACCTTGCAGGACCTTGTGGAAGCGTTCGCCGTTGTCGTTCTCCTTTTGCTTGAAGCCTTGATCGCCGATTGCCTGGCTGCATAAGCTGCCCGTTCGAGCGTTTGCGTCGATGAAGAGGATGTTGATATTGTGGTTAGAGGTTGCGCACTCGATCGTCTCCCAGAAGGTATCCTTCTCGTGTGGCGTGGCTCGTGAATGTGGTGCATGGGCGACGCGGACTGTGTGTCGAAAGCCTGGGGCTTCGATCCTTACTATGAGGTGCCGAGGGCTGTGCTCGATGACAGTGAACTGATCGGGGCGGAAGTAGAGGTCCTTGGCTCCTGCCTTTCCGTACGGCTTGCTGGTGAGTATGTGGAGCTCGCAGCCGAGGTTGTACCGGTCGTGGCCCCCTGAGATGACGTGGTAGGCGTACGCACTCGTGCTGGTGATGTCGTTGCCACTGCGAACTCCCCAGGGCGTGCGGGCTTCCTGGATGCCGATCAGGTGGAGGTCCTCCATGTACAGGTTGAGCATAGTCTTTCTGAGCTTGTGGATCTTCTCTTTGCGCCGTCGAGCGCCGAGGCCAGGTTCGCGCCCTGACTGGATGTTGTAGGTGGCGATGTTGACGTCTATCTCGGTCGAGGTCTTCGTGGTCTTGGCTGGTGTCGAAAGGTGAGCTGTCGTTGCCGTGGTATCGATGCGTTGGGCCCTGAGCATCCCAGGTGAAAAGGATGGGTAAGCGTCCTTGGTGTGGTTGTCGGCATCAAGTAGGAATTCCCAGCTGCGCTGAGGGGACGCGTTGAGTATGTCGGCCCATTCGGGTTGTGGGTGCGGGTAGTCCTCGATTCGGGCGTAGTTGGCCGCGGCGTCGGCAACTTCGTTCCACGGGTTCATCTCGTGGGCATGAACGTGACGCGGTCGACATATTCCTTGACGTGCGAGTACATGATCACCAGTAGCTGCACAAGGTGGGCGTCGCGGTTAGTAAAAGCCTCCATCCTGGCCAGTTGGATCGCTCCCAGCGAGTCGGAGTGGACCGAAATGCTGTGGTGGATGTCCTTGTGGATGATGTAGGCGAACGCCCAGATGAGCGCTGTGATCTCGCTGGATGTCGAGGTGGTCTCGTTGTCCGTGAGGTTTTGGATCTCTACGAGGGTGGAGTCGCGGTGCTTGCCGACTATTGCGCCTTGAAAAGAGAAGCCTTCTTCGTCTTCTCCGACGAGTACAACCGACCATCCGTCTTGACCATGTTGGCGTGGGTGTTTGGAGCCGTCGGTGTATAAATACAGGCGAGAATCTCGTGGAAGCTGTCGGTATGGAAATGTTCGCACCATGTAGTCTGATACCTTGTTGTGGCAACGGTCGGTGAAGTCGAAGGTAAGCCTGGGAGCCTGAAGTCGTCGAAGGTGCTGGAGTAAGGGCTCCTGTTCGTCGAAGTCGATGTGGTAGAGGATATTGTCGGTCTGCTGGTCGCGGGTGTGAACTTCGCGAGAGAAACGAACATGCCGTATCGCCTCGTGGCTCTCCGCATTCGGCAGGTCGGTCTGTCCATGTGGGACCTGGGTAGCGTCAAGGGAGTCAAAAATGGGAGATTGTGGCCGGCGGGAAGTTGATGTACATGGCCGGCTCAGTGAGTCACAAAATTGTCGGTCTCGATCGCCATCTTGGCCAAAATGGCTAGTGCGTCGATGCCTTGTTGGTGGCTCTGGTCGTTCTGGCCACAGACGGCAGCACCCCCCCGTGTTGTACTCACAAAGCGATGCGTCCTCTCGAGGCGTAGGCGGTGGCGTCGTCATCGTCGGGAACGACCGTGACTGGGCTTCCGCTGGTGGAGGATGTGAGTCGACATGCTGCCGTCGAGGTTGGGTGGCGGTATCTGGTCGGTCCGCTAGCGTATGTGGCTCTAGTGTGGGATCTGTGTGAGACAGCCTTCTCGCGCTCCCCAAGCGAGAGGTAGCGGCCGAGGGGATGGTCCACGGTCCACTACTAGGCTGTAGCATGTTGGGCGGTGTGTGGATTTCCCACATGTCGCCATGCTCGTAAAGATCTGGAGGTGCGCTCTCCCCCACGCGCATGTCGCTAGTGGCTGATGATACGGTAGGTGAAACTTGTGAAGTGTCGTTGGGTTTAGGGGGCTGCCGGAGGCCAAGACAGCCCGCTGCACTTAAGGGGCCCTTAAGTGCAGCGGATCTGCTCCTCCTTCGGAGGGGCTCCCGGAGGCGCATGACGTCGTCGGCGTAACCACTGCAGGAGTCGGAAGTGCCGTCGTTGCGCTGGTAGTCTTCTGGTATGATGCTGGGCCGCTCCCCCTGGGCCAGTTGCCCCCCAGGGGGTGAGGGCCTGGTTAGTTTTTTGGTGAGTTGACCGCGGGGGCTTCCTCGTCGTAGAGGAAGGCTGGCACACGGTCTCCTGGGTCTGCGAAGCCGTCTCCGATGTCGCAAATGCGGACTTTCTTGTGCTTGGCCGTTCGGCTAGATGATCCGTTTTTGCGGAGAGCGGTGCGGGGTGGAGGAGCGGAGGTGGCGCGGTCAGGCGTGGCGAGGTGGAAGCGGGGTGGTGGTTGGATTGGCTGCATCGGTGCGGTAGGGGATATGTCGGCTAGTGGAATGCGCACTGGGGTGGAAGGTGGTGGTGCATCGTCGTCGGAAGTGATGTCAATGAGAAGAGTAGTGGATGGGTGGGTGTGCCGATTTGGGTCTGTCCTTCTGGTGCGTGTTGGTGGCGCTGAGCTGGGTCGGTCGTGCTGCAGATCGGGTGGGTGGAAATCGATGGGCGTGGGCTGCTCAGGGGGGATTGGCGTATGCAAGGCGGGGGTAGGTAGTGGCGTAGGGGCAGGGAAGGGATATGCGTCGCTCGCAACAGGGGTTGGGCTGCAAAGGTCGTCGTCGTCAGCTGGGATTGGAGTGTGCACGCTGGCGTCGTCGGCGTCGTGGCATGGGCGTCGCGCAGTAGGAGTGGCGGTTGGCGTCGCAGGTGTCGGTCGTGGTGGTGGTGTGCTTCTGCGCTGTCCGCTGCTGCTAGGCTGTCCACCGCTGCTGCTGCCGCAGTGTCTGAGGTAGAGTTGGTAGCCCGAGTCCTCGGAGGTAGAGGGTGGGGTCAGCAGGTCGAGTGCCGCTTGTACCTGTTGGTCGATTTGTGCTTGTTCGGCGTCTGCTTGGGCTTGCAGTCGTGCGTCTTCCTCGTCTCGTTCTTGAAGTTGTGTGTCGAGCTCCCTGAGGATGTCCACGTCGATGCTGGTGCCGAGCTCATGGGCTTGCTGCAGTTCGCAGTGCAGTCGCTCGCGCTCCTGTCTGTGTTGCTGAAGGTGCTCCTGAAGTTGGAGTTGGTGCTGCTCCTGGAGTTCGTTCCCGAAGCGTTGCATGTCGCGGGAGGTGCCTCGAAGCTTGTCGATCTCGCTGTTGTACTCGCTCTGGGCCGTCAGAGTGCGGTACTTCTGAGCCTGGACCTGTCCGAACTCCTCCAAGAGTAGCTCCTTGGCATGCTGAAGTTGGTTCTGTTCGACCCTCGCGATGTTGCTGATTTCCTGCTGAGCCTGAGCTTTCTCGGAGAGAAGACGTTGCTGTTGTTCGTGGCATCGTTGTTGATATTGTTGGACCATGATCTCGGCGTTCTCGTGTAGCTGGTGTCGGAAAGTCTCTTCCTCCTGCTTCCTCTGGGTGATGAAAGTGGCGAGGTGCGCTGACTCTTCCTCCTTGAGCTGGTCGCGCATGTAGGCCTCCTTCTGCTGGTAGTGAGCCAGGTTCTCTGTGATGGATTCGCGAGCCTCGTATCGGAGCCGCTCCTCGCGCCGTCGGAAGACTTGGATCTCGTCGTAGTGCGACTGTCTCTGCTGGAGTTGTGCTTGCTGAAACTGTTCCTGGCAGTGTTGTAGATGTTGCGAAAGCTCCTGAATCTGCTCGGTCTGCAGTTGACGCTGTGCTTCGTGTTGCTCAGATTCGGCACGTTCATGATGGAGAAACGCCAGATGGTGTTGGTGTATCCCGTGGTTGCGCTGCTGCTCATCCACTCTCCTCGTCAGCACGTCGATGAGTTTCCGCAGGTCGCTGTCGTCGTTGGTAGTCGAAGCGGGCGTTGGCTCGGACACGGGTTGACAAACTAGTGGTCGCTGTCGTCCCTCAGGGTGTGGTGTTTTGCCCCTGACACGAGGGCGCACATCATCTTCGCCGCCCCCGTCACAGCTGTCTTCAGAAAGGTCGGCGTGTTCTCGATGTTGTTTGGCCTCGGAGATGAGTGTCTTGAAGGATGCGATCTCGCGCTTGATCTCGTCGTGCTCCTTGTTGAGGTCGTGAAGCTGGCTCTCGACGATCCGCTGTCTCTGGATCCGTGACTCCACTTGGGATCTGTATTGAGCGATGCGAGCAGTAGGCGTGTCCAATAGATGTAGCATGGTCTTGACGATGGCCAGCTCCTCGATCAGGCGGGTTGGGTCAACTTGAGCTTGCCTGGCTCCGAGGACTTGGTCGGCGAGACGTGCCATCCTCGCCACCTTGGTTGCGTGCCAGACCCGACGTATGTCTGGCTCGTCGGGAGGAAGAGAAAAGCTTTCATGTCCCTTGGCATCCGAAAGCAAAGCGGGCGTGACCTTGTCAGTGACCTCCAACTGTCGTTTCGTCAGCTTCTGCAGATGTCGGTGGTCGTTGGTGGTGTCCTCGGAGGCCAGGCGGCGTCGTCTCGAGGAAGACCGCTTCATTCTCGCTGTGGTGCGATCGTCCTGATGCTGCTGCTGATGCTGGGCGTAGTTGTGTTGCTGTCGGTCCTCGTCGTGGTAGGAGGCGTGGTGGTGTTGGTTGTGCTGGGGCTGGTACCGTGGCTGCTGCTGTCCATGCCCTCCGTGGTGTCGGCGGTGAGCTGAGCCAGATGCTGGTGTGCTTGACCTCCATGGCCACGGCTTGGCACCCACTGGATGACCGTGAGACTTTGCGT